AGCAAAGAATGGAAGAAGAGAAAAAACTTAACGAACACATGGAAAAAATGGCCACGAAAATTCAAGCATGGTGGAGAGGTACAATGGTCAGGCGTCGCCTAGGTCCATATAAACATTTGTCGGGGCCTAGAAAGAAAAGTATCAAGAAACCGTTAATAAATAAAGGGAAAAAAACGAAGAGCAAATAGTTTTTTATTTAAAAATAAATAATAGTAAGAGTTATAGTGATTATTGATTAATTTATCTGTACCTATGTCATAAGTAGCAAAACCCACATGGTCATTAAAATTATCATCAGATATTGTCAGATTTTGAAAATGTATTGGCATTACCTTGAATTTCAATATAGTTTTAGATAATACACAACCAAAATCTGAAAATAATATTAACAGTTTTTAATAATTAAAACTTTATAAATACGATTTTTTTTAAATGGTCATATAACACAGATATTGACCTTTGACCAAGGTTTTGGTAATTAAAATAAACTTGAGTACGGTTAGTATTTGAGAAAACAACTCATTTTCAAATTTGTGTGCCCCTTCCACCCATTAAAAATAAAGGTAAAATTAAAAAAGAAAAAATGTCCAAAACAAATATTTGATCAAAAACACCAGATTTTTTTCAATTTCTTGGAAGTTTTTCCCACCCCCAGGACCATATACCGACTACCGAGTATACCAGAAACTAAAACTGTGTGCAGTATGAAATTAAAAAGTGTGTAGTAGTAATAATAATAGTAATAACCTAATATTATGAAATGTTGTGTATTCAAATATTATTAGTTACAGCTATAGGGAGTCGGAATAATATTCTCTTACAAAATTGAAAATATTCTTCCGATATTTTTAAAAATCATAATAAAATATGCAAAAACTATGTTTTATATTAATATATTCTCTTAAATTAAATATATGCTTTTATATGCAAAAGAATAAAGTACATACGTAATACAAAAAAATACTAATATAAATCGGTGTATACCTAAGTAATAAAAAATATTACAGCTTAAAAAAAAAACTTTAACTTATAGTCAGGATAATGAAAAGTGGCCGCAAGCGATATGTCAGCAAGCTTTCTTTTTCGAAAACAGGGGTACTAGTACTACCATTGTATAATACATTTGTATTGGGTAATTATATCTAAATCTAGTATTTCAAAATGCGCACTTTACGAACTCATCACGGAAATTCACCGCGCATCAGTAGCGCACCAGTGGCCACTTTTCATTCCAACGACTATAGTTAACATTTTATTTATTTAATTAAATTAGATTAATGACGTATGTTTATTTAAGACAATTTTTCATCGTTATCTACAGACTATATAATTATTATTATATGGGGTATAATTATAGTATATACGATGGTATACAATATATATATCACTATTATAGGCTATCGCACGATTGAGCATATAGTAAAATAAATAAATTTATTTTATACTATGCGATTGAGGACGTTACATGTTTTTGGCTGAACGATTGAGAACACTTAAAATTAACAAATAGTACTTAACGCTGACAAAAAAAAATCCCAAACAATAATACAATTGAGAACGAATTTATGTGCAACGTTGCCATATAGTTTATTTGGCTATTGAAAGATTCAGTAATATACTTATACATAAAATAAATATTCTTGAAAAAAGTCATACATTTATAATTATATTCTTATACAAATATACGGGCATCTAATAATATGTAATATAATATATGAATAAGACATGCAAAATAATATGTAATACTTACAAAAATATTTAATATACTGAATGATTTTTTAAATATGCTCACCTTCATTTATCCCTTTAATATTACTTTTATCCAAATTCTGATTTTTAGAATTTTTAAGTTTACCTACCTGCAAAAGACAATATATTTTCAAATTCCTGATAATATTGTACTACTCATAAAGAGTTTCCTGTAGAGATACAATCTTCAATTTTTCAAATGAAAATCCCCCTTTTTTACCGTAAATTATTTGGTGGGGGATTCTCATAAAAATGTTGATGTATCTAAATCAAAATTCTAATAAGTAGTTTCTGAGTTACTATAATGTTCCTATTATAAGGAATAAGGATAATAATCATTAAATTTGGTTTTAACAAAATATAAACTATATGTAATATTAGATGTAGTAGTATTCATTATAGGTACTTAAATCATTTTTACAAATTATACTTAAGTGCATAATTCAACTTTGAAGTACCAAATTTATACAATCAATTGGTTACTTTATTATATGAGGTAAAAGGATCCATCAAAGCGTCGCACGATTATATGGTTTCGAATAAAGAAATGATATCTTAAAAGAAATATGAGATTTGAATGTATATTTGTAGCAATTTAGCTATTATATAAGTTCTCAAAAACTACTCAACCGATTTTGCGAAAATTTCAAATTGTTCTTGGAGATATTAGGAAAGTTCAAAGAGTAGTTTGAACCACGTTCGATTTATACCAAGTGCCATATACCCAATCCACCACAAATAAATTGTCCATCTTGGTCGATTTAGTTCGCAAAGCTACCCAAATTTATCTGTGAACTAAGGTACATCAAAACCAAGAAACGCTTATATAATCTAAATTTTGTATTTTTTCATTTTTTGTCGGACGAAACCGGGTTATAGATACAACTGAAATTCGATGTTTGTTTTATCCGAAGTTAATAGCCTCAAAAAATGACCGCGTTCAATAAAAGTTATTTAAATAGATTATTACTTAAAACTTGGAGGGCGTATATAGCTTGATTTTTCAACTCATATAGGCTGTAGATAGGTAAAGGGTTGATTGATTGACACATGATTTTTTTTAGCATACGAAAAAATAAATTTTTTTTGTCAATCTAAATGGTTGCAATTCGTTACATATTATATTAATATTATAATTAGATGAAATATGGTATATACATTTTGTACAAATATATTTATTAAAAATACAAATCTTTGGCCTGGACAACGTTGAGCGGGGCAGCTACTTTAATATAATACAAATAATATAATAACACTAAATAATAATGTATTTACTCTTTTAAGTTTGGAGAATTCGAATTACGAGTACCAAATACGAGAAACCTGTGTAAAATTAGGTATATTATATCATAACTAATAATTACCTATTAACTATATTACATGTGAGAAAACAATACTTTTTAGAGTTACCATAAGGTTATGACTTTATTTCATTCTTGCTAGCAGGTAAGGGCCCAAGTCTAGAAACGTTCACATGTGCCCCTTATTATGAAGTTGCGCTACTGTCTCTGTACCAAATTGAATCGCAATCGGATAAACGGTTTAGGAATGCATAAAGGATACCGACACAGACATTGTTTGTCTTTTATATATATATATAGATTACTATAATACTATACCTAGTAACTATTGATTATAATTTTAAACTTAACGTCATAAATTATAATTTATAATCAATAGTACCTATGTATTTAATTATTAATGTAATAATTTTGTTTTAAATTGCAGGGTACGTAGTAGATTAAAATGTTTATCCATATAAATGTTTGGAATCATCAACCAACTTACATAGAATAAACAATTAATTTACCTAATGGGTTCAGACTATCAATTATCATAGCATTTAGAGGTGATTTGATGATTACCTAACAAAGATAGTAAAAATGTACTAAGTAAATAATAAAATGCATTACTAATTAGTAATTACTAGAACTTAATGTTGTAGTTTGTGGCTTTTAACAATTTGTCCATCAATATACATCAATTGAATATTGATATACTTATAAGTTATATTGATATATCAATAGACTATAATATGACAAGTGACAACTTCTTTTCGTTTGTTTAAAATTTAAATAAATAGGTTATACATTTAATTTTATTCTGTAGATTGTGGTCTGTAAGTACCTACAATTCATAATAAATATTATAATGGTTAAGTGGTTAATAAACAAAATAAGAAATCTTAGTAAACAAAGAGCAGTTCATGGTTGAAATATACAGGTAGTTGCATATAGACTCGGATTGTTATCATCAGAAACAAAATGACTGCGTAAAGGGATATAACAAATATCAATTTTTCTTATCATCAAAAATAAGCTAACAAATTCAAAATCCTGCTCATATATACTTGATTATTATTGACTCTCTTTTCGCTGCCATTTTTGTTTATATCATCAAATATTTGATTGAGAAGGGGTATAAATACAATAACCTTGTATATTTCAACCATGGTGCTGATACAGTAGTTATGTACAATTATTTTAATTATTTTAATTATGGTTTAAAAACCCGTTTCTATAAAATGTATTTCTTGAAAAAAGACGTTTCTGCTGAATATTATTTGGGAACCGTGTACAACCACAGTGACGCCGAAGTTTATCAAATATAGTCGGGCAATTTCAATACTTCGCTGCCTAAATATCTAATAATTGAATATGGAGGTAGATACCCTAATATACATTTAGTCGTATAAAATTAACGTTGTAAATAAAATGTGGCCCTACTTTACCACGGGACTTAGACTTTGGCACCACTGAATCTACAGATTAATTATTATATTTATTCTGAAACGACAGGTATTTTTTTTTTTTATCTCAAAATTAATATTTAATTTTTAACCTTGGTGCTTTCTTATATCGTGTGTTCGCGAAAACAAGGTACACTGTACCTATAATTAAATTAGCAATATTATTCAGCAGTCTTTGTTTATTTTTGAATTCTGTTTGCGGAGCATAATAATTTAATTGGACTATCAGATCATCAATCTCCCGCAATCCGCATACAGAATTCTAAAATATGTATAGGATACTGAGTAATGTAGGTAACTGAGTTATAGAGTGCACACAGTTTTCGTGACATGCTGTATAATATATAAAATATGTAAACATAATATAGGTAGGTGCATACATATTAAATATCCTTTTTAATATTTAGATTGTGGTGGGGTAAAGTCTGTTTTGCTTATTCATTATTATCATAGCCCCATCACTGATCAGTTCGTTATATTAACTCAACAATAATACAAAAATATGTATTTAAAAATTAAATATTACTTATACTTTAAAATCGTATTAGCTTTAATACTATGTTTGTCAATTTCTGGACATACAGCAAATATAAAGGTGCTTGATTTATATGAAGGTGAGTTTAAAATGTTCAATTAAATAAGTGATTAAGTTTAAACAGTAAAGGTACTTACAATGAAACGGATACTTAGTTAATATAAATTTGCTTATGCTTATATATTACATAGGTGACGTATGTCAGGTAAGTGAGGACAATTCTAGAAATCATGTCTGCAAACAACCAGAAAATTGTACGTCGTTAGAACAGCAACTTCGAGATCAAGATTTTCCACATGTATGCTCGTTTATTAAAAACAAGCCAATAGTCTGCTGTTCACCCACAGTAACAATCAACGCAACTAATTTCGAACCTGTATTAAAACCCCCAATTTCTACATCGTCATACTCTGCCACTGAAAGTACGTATCGGTAGGTATCACACAAAACTCGTATTTAAACAGCTTTTCATAAGTTATAATCTGTTCTCATGACCGCTGTGCAGTGTGTAGCAAGTACAAGGATCTGGTGTACGAAAAAAACGTGCAACAATCCTCGTCCGGCGGGAGACAACCGAAGAAAACTCTCAAATGTTTCAACGTGATGACGTTGATCGTCGGGGGCATGAAGGCCAGACCGATGGAATTTCCGCACATGGTATGATAATTGTATGCCGTAGGTATTGAAAATCAGAAAAAACAATCTAGACGAAAATTAACCAATATTGAAACATTTGCCTCCCACAGGCACTATTAGGTTACGGGAACATCGAAGATGTGGAGAAGGCGTGGGGCTGCGGAGGTTCGCTGATAAGCAACAGGTGGATCCTGAGTGCGGCTCACTGCACCATAAATCCTGGGTGAGTACCGTGTACAAATTACGCGAGACCACGTGGTTTTAAATACAAGTATTTTTCAAAACATCCCTCCGTGAAGACGTACCGTGAGCTGGGCACGCCTTGGCGTTTTGAACATCTATTCGCTGAAATCTGACGACCCCAGCCCAGCCGACTACAAAGTCGTGGAGCGCGTGGTGCACCCCAAATACAATTCGACGTACGTCTACAATGACATAGCTCTATTCCGTTTAGAGGTGGAAGTTAAGTTTTCGGAGCACTTGCGACCCGTATGCCTAAACACGGTCCAAAACTTAAGCTTCAGCTTAACCACGGCCACCGGCTGGGGTCGGACCTCGACCAGTGAGTATTAATTTTTATACTAGGTACCTAGTATCGTTCGACCAGCGTGGCAGACTGAGATATCAGATTGGTGTGGTTACTGGTACGATAGTTTTAACGCCCACCACAAAAAAACATGTAATCCATCACCGTTTAAATAAATAAGGATATCAGGGTATCGCTATAATTACCACACTAGTTATAATAGTTCTAGTATAATGTTCTTCAAACCTGCTACAGTGCTACTTATGAACAAATTCTCAAAAATAGACGTCCAATATCTAGATACCTATACTATGTAGGTCAATTTCTACTTCATGTGTAACGGTGTAACCATATGTTTAATTAATATCTTACAACGCCACCTCTAGACTTATATGACGCTCACTATTCCATGTGGTGGCGTGGCGATTTGTGGCGAAAGTGCCAAGGCACCTGCTGCCGCAGGGTCTGGTTTGACGGAAGTTTTCCGTGACCACCCCAAAATGTTTGCCTATATTAGCATTTCCCAACATTTTTTTCCACCGGACCCCTAATTAGAGTACAGTAAAAATGATTGCGGATCCCGTAATAAAAATATTAAATAACCTAACCCAACAATAATACATGATATAAATTCGCGGACTACAGTTTGGGCAACGCTGGTCTATATTATAATAACATGGAACTTTCAATCGCTATTTCGTCTGTGCAGATGGTCTGATTAGTCCCGACTTGTTAAAGGTAGACCTGTCTCTGATATCAAATGAAAATTGTAAGTATAGTTATCCTCAGAGTGCCAATCCGAGAATTAACTTCGGGATACTGGAAGACAGCATGATATGCGCGGGCGACCACGTGAACGGAAACGACACGTGTACGGTGAGCAAACGTAAATAATCGGTGGACGACTGACACGAAATTGTCCTTAATGCACCACTTTATAATATACCTAAGTTATAAATGTAATGTATAACATAATATGTGACATAATATTATGAATTTCTCCACAGGGCGATTCTGGAGGCCCGCTGCAAATAAAGCACCCCGAATACATATGTATGTACAGTCAAATCGGTATAACGTCGTTCGGGAAATATTGCGGCAATAGGTACACGCCCGGCGTCTTCACCAGAGTGTCCGAATACGTTCCATGGATCGAACAGATCGTTTGGCCGAAGAGTTGAACGTGTCATGTGAACAAATTAATTCTAATCAGTAGGTAGTAAGTAGGTACCTACCTACCAAGCTTTGATTATAATTATTTACAATTTATAACTATAAATTTTTAAAAAGTATAGAAACTTAATAAAAAATTAAAAAAATTTTTTTTAAAAACACACTTTTCTAAAAAAACAAAAAAATAATGAAAAATTTAAAAGTGTGTGGCGCTCTTACACTTGACATATTATACCACACACTTTTAAATTTTTCATTATTTTTTTGTTATTTTAGAAAAGTGTGTTTTTAAAAAAAAAATTTTTTAATTTTTAATTTTCTACTTTTTAGTTAAAAAATTTTTTTTACGGATTATTGTATTGTCATCAAAAACCAAGGTCTATACCAATTTTCAGAATTTTTCATCTTCAAAAAGTGCCTCAAATCGAGCGCGCAAGATTTGATCACAGATGACGGACGTGAAACCGAACTTAAGAAAAGTGTATAAAAATAGTACCTAACTATAAACTAGGCGTACCCAACTAAGTTAGTCGAAAATCTTATAATAATTATTAATTGACAATAATATATTATATAATATTATTATTAAGTACCTATTATTTATTTATTTATTTACAAAATCACTCTGAGATGATTATTTCCCGGTTTCTAAGCTACAAAGCAATAAACTATAATTATTCAGAAAACAAAATAATTTTGTAACATTTATAGTTGATAGTATATTTTAGATAGTTTGAATCTATATTATTACTTACTGGATAATTACTTATGTACTTAAAATTAATATCTTAATACTAACAATCGTAAATTCGAAACTATGTAAAGAACAGCGAACAATAATGAATAATTAAACATATTATATTATATTATCAACAATCATAACTATGTTTACCTACCGGGCACTGGCTACTGTAAACCTAATGTTAACTAACCAATCAAGGAGAATTATAATTAATTATACCACCTTGTTAAGGAACACTATAATAGACGTCGTACAAAACTTTACAATACATTTCCAATACACACGTTCACGGGGTAAATCCTTTTTTGTGATTAGTTGGTTAGGTTAGGTTACCACACGATTAGCCACGATACAGTGTTATTGTCTGATAGCTAAACATTTTTCGTGTACACGGCCCAAGTGTATTGTGGAAATCCACCAAAGTGACCGGATGGAGTACCTAAGTCCAAAGAGGCTACCTAATAAACCGAGGTAGGTCACTCAAACACAATTTTATCCAGATTTCGGAATAAAAGTGGTTCCCTACAATAATGTAGGTATCAAGGAACGATGATCGATCGCATCAAAAACCTTCAAAAAATCAGTCTTGACTAGGTACCTACAAACTTAAAATTTGGATTTAAAATTTTAAGAGGCTGACTCTATTGAATATTTATTACAGTACAGTCAGTAAAAACGTAACAATCGTATTGTGCGGTGTAGATGATACCTACACTATAAAGATAGTATGAAAATGTTATAATTATATTATAGGTAGGTACATAATTACTTATTGCATATGACATAATATTATTACCTAGCTATTCATTATATTTTAGTATTTTAAAATGACATACAAAACTTTAATACGAGTAATAATAGTTAATAATACCAAGTCAAATAATAGGTACATTAAATCATAGTTTTTAAAAAAATCACATAAATGATTATAGTTTCACCAGTTGAGTTTTAACGACTTGTGTTAAGTATACCTACCTATATATAAAAGATTAATGGTTGATTCTCAGCTAATACAATTTGTCTATACAGTCAAGTAGCCAGTAATTTTTTCCATAAGGGGCTAACATTTTTTGGCCCCTACCCAACCCTCTCGGTATCACGCAAAATCTATAAGAAAAAAATATAAAATGTTGACAATGTATTGTCTGTATTATATTATAAGTTAAAGAGGACGTTACACACTTACACCCATATATTGTGTTCTTTCCGTCGTTTCAAAGTAAAACATACCCAAAACTGTTTTGCGCAGGGAAGAATCGATAAGGTTACAGTAGTGCAGATGTACAGTAATAACTAAAAAGGAAAATTTATCAAAAAAACTTATTTAAATTTCAAAAACATAAAATCAGATTACCTACAACTGTATTGATAGGAAGAGTAATATTACTATACTAACCATTTGTATAAAATATAATGCCCGTACAAAACGTGTAGGTACATCTGATCAGATTCTGTGTTACGATGTAACACACGAGGTTTCAGGTTTATCAAATATAAATCTTAGCCGAGATTCTGAAAATTCAAAACACAAATAATAACCATAGTAATATAAGGTATTTCGAATCGGACTAACGCAAGCTGTCGGAGAGTGGAGACGGCGGCGTGCAACAGCTGGAGTTGCCAGCGAATAGCGATGAAAGAGTCGCGAGCAGCAATGAAAAATATGTAAGAGCGGGAAAAACAGGTTCTCTGGTTAAAAAAAGATAAGATATCAAATGTAATGCAATGTGTATAACATTATCATAGGGTAATAACATTTTATTCTGTGGTAATCATCATTACTCCACGGTGTGTATAATTCCGGGACACGAGAGAACATTACCATAGAACAATACTGTCGCCCGACGAAAACTCCTCCGATCCCGCGCATTCCCCGGCAAGCCGACAGCTGTTCGGCACCGGTCGAAACCGGTTTCCGTGCGCGAAACTGTAATCTTCCGCGTACCGTCTAAAACTATACTATTAATATTGACCAATATTGTACAAACGTTCAATAAAACACAATATTATGTCCAAAAAAAAATGTTCGGTATTTTTAGAATACAATTCAAACAAAGGGATCCTACGGCTTTGTTTAAAAAAAAATGTGCTCAGCCCCCACCCAATTTAAAAGTCAATTTGCTCCCACCGGCTACCGCAAATCTTACAATTCGTTATCACGTTATGACTATATCCGTTACCGATTGGCGATTGTAACTTACCCACTATAGAATATAGAAATATTATACTTCGAATTGGTGTAATATTAACCGAATGAGACACTACGGCACTACGCTGTGAAAGGTGAAATGAATACTCGCGGACTACACAGATACCTATAGTTGACCTAGTACCTACTAATATATAAATAAATAAGATATACAAAATTAAACATACCGTCTGCTGCAGTCGAAAACGAAACTTCACTCGAGATGGAAACGTGCCCTAAATGTTGATAAAATAAAATTTGATCATACTACACAGTACACACGTCTTTTCGGTAGAGTAGCTTACAACGTACTACACACGCGTCGTATACGCATAGCCATAGGTACCTACTTGAAACAGTAATATACAGACGTATGGCACGAAGTTTATTCGCCTAAATTAAGCACCGATAACCGGAAGAAATTTAAGTATATTTTCCTAAAAAATGTAGAGTCGATTTAAAATTAATGAGATGCAAATTCATTTATTATGCAAAAAAATATATACCCAATGTAAATGTGTAATATCGCTGATATTTGATAAATAATAGTTGCATAAAGATATAATACATTTTATACTTGCCAAGTATTTGTATAACCAGTAGTTTTTTTCAATAAACGGGATTTTATAATTACTCAGTTAGTTTTCAAACCGAAGTACGATTAATTAGTTTATACATATGTCTTTGGACTTGATTTTTTGATTCAAAAAGTTTAAATATTATGCTAACATAAGTATCATAGTAATATTCTGTAAAAAAAACATGAAAATATTTTCGTTATATTCTCTTAAAAATAAAGAAAAATATGTAAGCGATCAAAGGAATATCAGATTATGCTTTAATCCACATTTTTTTATTTGAGTGACTTTCCCTTTAAGTTCCAAATAATTATAAAATGAAAATACAATAATTATTATTTTAACTTAATTTGTTCTACTGTTAAATTATAAACAATATGTGTAGAGGTAGGTTTAAACATTATAATTGTGAATTAAAATAATGGGTATTTTTGTCTCTCAATTTACAAAATATTCCAAGATATAATATGATAAAAAAATAAACTAAAATAATCCCCAACCCCTGAAATATTAAATGTCTCCTGTGTTCAAAAAATCATCAATATTATTTACTCTTATAAAACTGCATATTATGCTCAGTAATGATATGTAAAACCTAAAAATCTGGACCCTAGATAGGTATAAGATAATTATTATTCAAAATCAACCACAACATGAATACATGATGCCAAAAATGTACATTTTATTTTGTTTTTACATTTATTGCCTCTTTTATTATACTGACTGCATACTGCATACATCGTGCGTGTTTAATGATAAATTAATTCAATTATTTTATTTTTGATTGTAGCCTGATGACTGAAGCTTATAATACTGTATAGTCAAGTTAATAACTGTAGTCTGTAAGTTAGTATTATAAACTTACTTTAAGTTAGCATTATAAACTTACTTTAAGTTAGCATTCTAACTTATTGCATTATTCAATGCCCTTTTCAGCAAAATTGGCAAACAAACCTTTAACCAAAAATGTTGATGTAGGTATCAAGTTACAATAGTAATTTGTAGAAGGGTTTATAAAGGATAAAAATAAAAAACATTTTATTTTCACTTTGCTATAAACGATTTATTTTAAGTTACTTATTAGATAACTATAAATATAGTAAGTATAAACTATAAATATAATTGCAACTTAACAAACTTAATAACTACTGAACAACAATCTTAAAAACTAATTAACTCGTCACTAACATACTTTTTATATTTACAATAGGATACAAAAAATGAATACCAGTAATTCAGAGATCACTAATTGTCCACAAAAAATACCGCTTTAATAATATCTCCCCTTCCTCTCCTGCCGCTAATAATTGTAAATTATTGTTGACTAAGTTTCACTTGGCAGTAACAAGAATCTCATAGGCAGGCACACAATAAACTACTGTTGTTCACGTAATATTATGTTAAAACAAAATAACTTTCAGTCATTTGTGTTGCATTTCATCATTGTCTTCTTAGAATATAATATATTGTATTATTATATTTACAGCAGTACTTAATCATATTCAACTTTAAAATTAAAATAACGTACAATTTTAAGATTTTATTAGGGTAATTTATATTTAAAGTTTGCTATTGACTAACATTTTAAAAATTAAATGAAATTAATTTAGAGAAAATGCTAACCTTGAAATAATAATAATGTTATAACTGTAATAAATAGGTATTTTCTCAGATTTGATTCAGACTGAATTTACACTTGAATTTACATTGCATCAATAAGGGTAGATTATTTGACTGAAGAACTGAACAATGAAAAGACTTGTAAAATTTTAAAATAAGTAATTAGTAACTCTATAAGAGATTTTTTTTTTTTTTAAACTATACAATATCCAAAACACATTTTCATAACACATAATAGAAATCATATTTATATTTAACAGTTTTATATTTTAGAGTAAGTGTCAAACATTATCATTGCAAGTTTAAATATTTTTAAATTAAATTTAAATTAAAAACGATTCAGTAAGACAATAAGTTACATGCTGTACAATAAAATATTGAATAATTTTAAATTTTATTATATAAAAAAAATTGCACAATTGATAAAATTCAACACTGACAAAATAAAAATCACTTATATAGAGTTACAATTACTAAGTATTTTTTTATTGCTTTTCATGTTTACAGTAACTAACTGATGACAACACGTTATGTTCCCTTCATATTAGTATTTATGCTGTCGCTAATTTTTATAAATAGTGAATATATTAATATTGTATTAAACTACATATTTTTATACTTTAATTTAATTAAATGTATTTTTTTCAACTGTAGTGTATTATTTTACATTTAAGAATGTCAATGTATTTTGTGTCCATATAATATTTATTGTTATTTATCTATAACATTCGGCATTAATAGTATTTGTTAACAATGATAAAATATATAAAATACATATAATAAATATAAATATATTTATATATATACATATGATATATAAGACCTAAATTTCTTTCGAGCACTATTGAGCAAAAATCATTAAGACTTTTGGATTAAGTACTTAAGGTGCCTTAACAATGGATATTTATTTTTTTAAATAATTTTTTATCACAGTAAAACAGCCTTTTTTTGTCATAAAGGGTCGCCACAATTTGCATATCTACCTACTATAAGTGTTTATAAATTATCAATAAATAACAATCTTGAACACAGATGGCGAAATATTTTGCAAGTATAAATATAAATATATTTTTTTATCGACCAAGATCGTTGCCATTTTCTGGAGTTTGAGGAGGGGGAATTAAGTTAAATAATACTATAAAAAATCAAAAATATTAGGAGCTGGCCAGTCTTGTTGGAGCTATTTAACTTTGATCATATAAGAAAGCGGTAATTCTTTGTTTTTATTTTTAAATGGCCATTGACCTCATGTCCGAACACATGCCTTCTACTTGAGGGGGGCCTATATCAACACTGGTTATTTGGTCTGCACGACTATCTTCACTGCTTGAAACTTCAGGATTATCGCCTTGGTCAGGTGTATAGCGATTGATTCTATTTCCCTTGTAAGACTAAAAATTATTAAATAAACAAGATTAATTAAAAATGAATTAATCAATTAATGCGATATTCTTTCTTACACTGTAGTTTTTCTTGTTGCTTTGGTAGTTGTTGCCACCATACCTGGCTCCTCTGTTGTTGAACATCTGATGGCCATTAGAGGGGCGTACATTTCCCTGATTGTGATAAGGATAATTTGGATTTAACATCACCTGAGGAACAGCAGGATAGTGCATTTTAGGAAATCGGTGACGGAAATTTGAATTAGGAACAAAAAACGGGCTAGTAAAAGATGAATTGACCATAGGACCAGTAGTATTATTATTATGCCTGGGATGAGATATAGTAGTTGGCCCAGTTTTATAAAATGTGCGAGCCTCCAGATACTTTTTGGGTCCATTTTTCATGTAGTCGTTGTTATTCTTAATAGATAAATTATTGTTGTTTCCCTGATATTGATGAGCATCACCACGTTGCTTAGCACAGTCCTTTTGTTCTGGACGTATATTTATAGAAGGTGGGGGGTGTCTAATATTATACTGAATTTGAGTCATAAGTAATTGATTGGGTGATTGGTCAGATTTTTCAGGATCCGGTGTAGACGACGTGGTGGGTTTAGAAACGATTGGTTGAGAGACTGTTTGTGGCGGAGGCTCTGCTAAACTTATGACTGGAGTTAGGCATAACTGCTGTGGTTCAGGTGCATATGTCTGAGGTTTTTCCTCGTCATTTCTAACTACGGACATCAGTGATACAAACTGATTCGTGGTAATTACTTGAGCTTGTCCTACCTAAAGCCACAGATTCAATAATTCAACATAATGCATACTTTAAAAAGAGCTGAGCAAGACAATAAATATCTTTATATTATATCTTTATATTATATTTAGATATAGATTTTTCTCACACCAATTTTCTGGTAAACCAGGTTTTGGTTTTTAACAATTTGACTCGTCATTATTCTTTCTTTATTCAAATTAAGAATTAATTAAATATAAATAAATTTAACCATAAGATAATCGTGAGGAAAGTAGATTTGCATATTCTTAAGAGGAGAGGAAGCTACCAATGTAATTGTTGTCTCCGTCTTACAAATGTACGACATAGCAAATTTTTGATCACGTGTGTGCTGTTAACCCGAGGAAATTTAGACCATTGGGTGGTTGTTTAAACTGTAGGGGAGGGTACCTATAGGTTTTGGTAAACACTTGTGTTTTTTATGGTTTGGCAGAATTTCAACGTATGGCCCCTGTAGGTTACTGCCATGCCCGGTTGGGAGATGGTGGACAGACATCTGTCTGGAGAGAAGTGCCGTCAGTGACAGAGATTTGAACAGGCGACAGTCCGTGTCACAACCGACGTCCTAGTCTGCTTGGCCATTCCGTCCCCCCTGTTAGTTTTGATATTAAGAGTGAATCGACCTATTAAACTTTTAGGTAAGAATATTAACCATGCTGAGGTGTCAGCTTTTATTTGATATTTTAATTTTCAAGCGAGATATGAGCATTTTAAATTTGTGATATTTTACATATTATACCCGTATCTTGCTTGTAAATGAAATAATCAAAAAATTGTTGATGCTTAAGCACATATAGTTTTCTTATCTAAAAGTTTGATAAAAAATTCACGCTAATCTCAAAACTAACAGAACACTATATATATAAACTAGTTAACAAAAATTTGCTGTCGTAAGTTTGTAAGACGGAGATAACAAACACATGGGTAGCATGTTCTTAATTTTATTTATTAAGTTCAAAATGAAATATATATAATTTAAAATATTAATTAAGAATTTTTATATACAAAGTTTAATGCAAATAAAAGCACTTAAATCATAGACCTTATACTAATAGACGAAGCATGTATGGCCGGCAAGGTTGGGTGTTACGGTGACAGCAAATTGCGTTACCAGTGATTCCATCACAAGTAGCATAAATAATTGCACACACACACTTTTCATTCAACATAATTGTTTTACAATATTTCACCCACAGCCCTTATATTATGTTATAATATTAATACTGGGAATTTACTAATTACTAGTAAGAAATGTTAAAATATCCATAAATCATGATATAAATAATATAATACGACAATTACGTATTTACGATGTCAACTATGTCTAAACTATGTGGCACAGAAGAGTTAATTAACATTAATTAGTATGATAGAAACTACCACCATACTTTGCCTATTAATATAAGGTTTATGAATTAAAAATATATTTTTCATAACATATATATTTTAAGTTAACAGTTCATTTATCTCGGCTAAATTCAAATATATTCGAGAAAACTATTTTGATTTTAATTTTTAAGTAATAATAAAGTGAATTGTATTATTTTATTTTAAATTTTTTAATTCATAACATCAAAATATATTGCTTAAGAGGACGTCGCATCCGCATATTATATTGTCTTAGTCTTACACACAAACGACATACCAAATTTTACTCAGCAGATCATGTTTAGCTACTTTAGTTTAAAAATTAGCCCTTAGGTAAGAATGTAAAATTATTATCAAGGGCATTTCATAGACTTTTTATTAAATTTTAATTTTAAAGTGAGTATTTTAAAATTGTAAATTGTTTGAACAACTTAAAATATAACAAATAACCTATGAGATGCCCTAGACAATTATCTTACCATTAAATTGTATAGGAGGTCCATTCACTCTAATTTTAAAAACTAATGAAGCTAAAAGTGATCTGCTCAGCGTAAAATTTGGTATGTTGTACGTGTGTATGACAGAGATGACATATGTAGGTGTGACGTCCTCTTAAACAAATTATATTAACTCGCTCAGCTCCAAAATAAAATTATTAATATTAAATTATTTAATTACCGAAGCATCTGATGAAGGCGGCCTAGGATTTGCGCACTGTTCAGTGAATACTGGTTGATGAACAAGCTGAATATTTTCCATGACTGGATCATAATATGGATAACCACCATCAGAAGTTGCGACCATATAAGGCATATATGGTGACATGACGGGCATGGGATAGGCCATATCAGAAGTAGGTATCATATTAGACATTTGAGTTCCCGAATAATAAGGTGTATCACAAGGCATCGAAAAAAGAACCTTAGATCCTTGAGTATTGTTACAAACCTAAAATGATAATAGTTAAAAAGATATTAATTGACAAAAAAAAAAAATAAGTTATTTTTAATTATTAAAATTTTTTTCCACATCAATTTTTGGAATTTATGAAAAAAAAATGTATTAATAGCTTGTACTGTTTGAAAAAAAGTACTGTTTCTTAGCAGTGATTTTTTATTTTTTATTTTATTGACAATCTATAATCTATATTTATAATGACATTCTTTGAAGCAGAATACTTTTTTAATTTATCCATGTATAAACGAAAATAGATCAGTAATTTTTTTTGATAGTTGTTGTTTATAAGATAGTTTTTTTCTAAATCAAAATTTAATTGGATCTCATAGTACAATAATTGTCTTCCTGGGGTCAATTAAGTTTGAATTGACATATGTTTGAGTCTGAGGACAATATTAATAGAATGGACCATAAGGATCCTAAATTATATGCCCATTATAAAAAATAATAGGTACAATTATTTTAGGCAATTTATTCTCTGTGTAGAAACATCTTGAATTTATAGAACATACTGAGAATGTTATTTGCATTAATGTCTAAAATATATTCTACATCTGGCTGGGTTGACCTAGCCAAATAATAATTGTATCAGATCAAGCTCATTGAATTTTTATAATGTACAAGAAAATAGTAAGAACTAAGAGAATATGAAAAATACAGCTTTTAAAAGGATATCAGATCATTAGTTGTTTTCACTCTCTGACAACGCAAAATACTAAATTAGATTTCAGTAGAACCAATTTTGTATTAGTTTTAATATTGAGTGAGTTGACAACCTATTATTGAATAATGAATTTAAATAAAGAACATTATCTGTGTTTATGCATTGGATTTTTTTACAATATTTTAATTATGAGCATATTTAAATAGCAATATTTTACATACTCAATACTTTTATAATATCACTTTGAAACTAAAATATTATAAGAAAACTATAGGTAATATTCCTACTTTTAAGTTGGATAATTGATTAATTCACTCTAATAATACAGGTAATAATACAAAATTGGTTCTAATTAATGCAAATTTATTTGTCACGTGGTGTGTGGATGGAGTCAGAGAGAGAAAATAAATAGTTTGCCGACATCAACTGTGGATTACTAAACAATTTATTAAAAATCATGAATAAAGAATTTTTGCACTTGATATAACTCACCGAGCTCACTGGTAAGTTAGGGTAAGCTTGTTGCACCAGAACTTGAGGTACTGGATTTGGATAGAATATAGGTTGGCCACTATAACCTTGCATGCTAGTAGTACTTTGTGTTCCATAAGGAGCTAAATACACAATTATAAAATAACTGAGTTTAATATAATCATAATTATCTTTAATTAGTTACCTGCATAAACATTAGGGAGGGATTCTGTTGATGACGAGTTTTGTGGACCAGGAGGTTGAGGAGTTACAGAAGTATTCCCATTGATTGGCATATTAAAAAAAGCCATTCCATTTTGATAAGTATACATAACTGGTGCTAACATTGGTTGAGCTGGAGTTGGTAATGGAGGAACTGAATACTGCTGAACTTGACTACTATATGACATTAAGTGTGATTGTTGTTGAGGAGAGTTGTTAGAATCGTAATTGCTCTTGATATCCTAAAAATAATGATAATTTTTAAATAACATGTTAAGCGAACACCAAATTAAAATAGTATACTTATACAATACTCATTGCTTAATAAACACTTTTATCATTCATGTACATTTGGTGCTAAGCCATAAAAAATTAAATTATTTGTTTAGATAAGCTATGATCCAGTTATCATATTTAAGTTATACCATTAAAATAGTTGGTATCAAATTAATTAGCATTGAATATTGATACAAACATAAATGTATAAAATATTTATAAATACATTTCTTCTTATACACTATTTTGAGATAAAATTACTCTTTGTTAGAATTTAAGCAAGCACCTAAATAAAATACCCAAAATTTGTTTTGGTGAATAACCAATTATAGAAATCTCTTATTTAATAATAATAAATATCATCTGCTATAACTCCGCTTAAAATTAAACTAAAATCCTATTTAAAAGATGTGTTGTTACATAATCAAATAATTAATTAATATTTTTTGTTCAAATTATATGGACTGTTTATCTCTAAACCCTCAGATAAGCTATCTTTTATACCCTCAGATAAACTATTGATAAAACTAATTACGAATACATACTAATGCAAGTATAAAATAGCTATCAAATAACACCAATAAAAAAAAAAATTTAATAATTAGAAATATTAACTTAGTATCAAAAACTAGGCTACACCTCCAGACCAAGAATATACAAATTAGATACAGCATAACTGCAGAAGTTAGTCATTCATATCAATTTAGGTAATTAATTTTGTTTTATGTGTTTTTTTTAAATGTACGTATGCTTGATAAAAATTAATGATGTAGTTTCTTATCTTAAAAATAATAAAGACAAAATAACAATGTAACACATACTTTCTCATAAGCAGGAGCTATGTTGATACGTTTATCTTTAAACATGAGAACAGGACCCTAAAAAAAAAAAAACTCTATTAAAACTAAAATTAAATTAAATATTACCAACTGAATTATAGAGAGTATGTAAAACTTCAAATATATTTCACAAATTAAATCAAAAAATAACATTAACTTACAGCATCAATTATTTTTTTAACTTCTTCTTCAGAGCCAAAAGTAATAAAACCAAATCCTTTGAGAGCACCAGCTTTATCTTTTACAATTTTTACAACTTTAACTTCTCCATAAATTGAAAAGAAGTTTCGCAATTCTTGTTCTGAAGTGCCATTGGCTAAACCACCGACAAAAATTCGGTTTGGCACCATGGTTGATCCAACACGTTTATCCGCCACGTTGTGGTTATTATATCTGAATGTTTGTTGTTGTAATGTAGACAGCTCCAAGTGATGGTACCTCTCTTCAATGCTAGTATACGTTATCTGCGTAACAAGTTATGAATTAGGATATGAAACCATGGTTTAAATTTTAAAAATGTTTGTACTATATAAATGTTGCTATTTTAGTAAATACCTTGCGACCTCGTTTCATTTGTGACATAATAGTTTGGCAGTAATGCAGGAAAGAAGGATGAGAAGTTACAAAGGAAACCTATTTGAAGGAAAATGACAAAATTAGCAAATACAATTAATATCTTAAATCTAATTTTAAAATATGAAAAGCATATTTTATATCTCACAACTAATATAATAATGTAACCCAAAATAACTACTATATAGGCAAGCTCATTTAAATATTTAATATATTTTATCGTAAATCAAAAAAAATATACGTAGGTACATGATTTAATTAAAAATATATTTTCTAAATAGAGTTCAAAAAGGTGAAGAATATAAATGCAGAGAAATGGTTTGAAGTAAATCCACTTATAAAATAACAAGTAGGTATCTATATTGTTTTATAATTATCATTTTTCATAATATTTTTAAATAAATTGTGTCTACTTAACAAAGTTAACATTTTAGGATTGTTTTATTTATATTATATAATATATAATATGAAACAGAAAAAACTAAATGAAACCCTTAATCCGACAATGGTCGCGACAGTGTATATTAAGGAAACAGTAGCATTGCGGTCTATTCGACATTATATTTTTCAATAACAAAAAAAAATTTCTTTCCTACATTTTTATTAATTTTATCAAAACAAAATATTACTTCCTTATACATCAAATAAATAATATTATTTTAAAAAAAAAACAGGAATGTACGAATTAAATGGAGTCTCATGGCAGGCAATTTAAGTTTTCAAGAAATCCCTTGGCACCCAAGTAGTAATTTTATTTATAATATTATTATAGTATTTTTAATAATTTTTGTAAAAGGTATTAATGACTGAAATGTAAAATATATTTGTTTTATTTGAGTCATTTGAGATGTAAAAAAGTGCGGTCATTTTAACCATAGCGAGACTAACGTCGGGCTAAAAAAAAATTGTTTCTGGAAAGCAAAACAATAGATTTTCAATTTTTGTAATACATACTAAATAGTTTTAGAAACAGTGACGAATGGCATGGACAACAATAAATAACAATCCAAAACGAGTGGCGTAAAAAATGTTCATAGAACAAACACTACGTACCTACCTATGAAAATATAGAAAATTAAATAGTAATTTTGTTCTGCCTGAATAACGTAGGCGGCGGCTATTGACTACTGGGCAGTGGGTACAAAGACAAACATGGTACAAACTATGATACGGTTTTGCTGCACGAACGTATACGTCTCAGAAACTTCATTACCGCGCACAATGACAAAATAGTAAATATACACAAACGAAGAGAGACGAACGATTCGGTGAACACCGATAACACGAATTCGTTGTCCCGGAAAACTCGTAAACACCGCGTACGGCAATAATTATAAAACAAAATACAATATAATATTCCTGACGATATCTCAAAGACGGACGGACGAATAGAAACAGAGAGAGTGAATTTGGAAAGAAAGAGATAGATCTACAATTGTTATTAATTTAGCGCTTAGACATTGCCGACCGTATGGGTATTCCCCGACATAATATGATAAGAAACTGTGCCCGGTGGTGAGATTTGGTGAAACACGATAAATGATCACCGCGCCATAAAACCAGTAACGACTGCTTTTATACCAGAGAATATATAGATATATACCACATCGATAACGAGCCGCACTGCCGCCATCCCAGCCATTCTAATCACTAATTCACAACTCCAAAAATAACAGACATGTAGGTAATTACTTATTTACTTATTACACCTCTTTCGTGGGTTTTCGATTTACGGCTTTACCCACGTCCGGCTAACAAAAAACCTACCAAACTTTAATAATTTTTAACTTTTATAACTAAATTATAACTTAATCAATTGATGTTTTTAAGGACAGTCCCGAAATACTCACTTTGATAATATCGTGCTTAGCTTGGAAAAGCTCTCAAACGTTGTCTGTCCCCAAATGTCTCTGGTCAGCTCTCGTACGACCGGACTCCGGACGTGTTCACACGAAACGGTCGGCTACAAACACACGGAATAAAAGTCAAAACAGAGCAAATTAACAATAAAAATGCGATTCGACCCGAAGCGGATCCCGTTGACAAGCTCGTCAAATCGCAACGGTCCGTCTTACCGCGGCTGGTGTCGATCATCTCGTCACAGCTTGCAGCAATCCACTAATTGTTATGAAAATCGTACAGTGGCGGCGAACGCCGATAGCGACAATTTTAGTGAAAAGTGATAGTAGAAGAAGAAAAAGAAGTTGTTGACTGGCGGCGGTAAAGCACTAAAGCGTGGGTCGTCTCTCAGACTTCGGTTGTAGTGCAACGATGTCCGTCAGCCGCGGCGCGCGTGAGGGAGCTGAGCGTTCTGCTTCTGCGTGCCGTGCACAACGCGACGCTAGACGATAGTCTAAAATAATAAATCGACGGTATTATACCTATAATATCCTATTATATGATATTATGGCAAACACGGCGGCGGGCGTACACGACGAATTAATGATGTGCGCGTGAGCGTTTGTAAAAAAAAATGTATAAATAAATATTATGATCGGACGGAAAAAAAACAAAAAAAAAAAAAGCGTACGACTAGCAAACGGATTTAATTATAATCAGTGAAAGAATGAAGGAAAAAAAGAAGAAAACACGTTCGGGAGTGAAGAAGGGTATCTGTGGGGTGTGCGCGCGCGCGTGATTGCGTGTGAAGTGTGTATGGCGTATGCGTTGTGTACTTGTGTGTGTGTGTGTGTGTGAAAAAACCAATATAAATAATAATAATAAATGAATATAAAATAATAAAAGCAAAGAGTACACAAACGCGATGCGCGATTAGGAACATATGCGCGGTGCCCAATCGGATAATGTGCGGCGGTGCGCCGTGCGCTCCAGCCTGCGGCGGCAGCTTGTCGGCGGAATTGCCGGAGCACGCGCGTGGGGGGCGGGGCCCGCGGTAAAAGAGACTCTGGTACGACGGCGTGCCGGCGCACGCGACCGCGTGACGTCACCGTGAGTTCGCACGGATGTTGTGCGTTTCGCGGGGACCGTTCAAACCGTAGAAATTATTATTATGCGTTTCGAACAATTCGAACGGTTAAGTCTTCGGGTGCCTTCTGGCTTCTACAGTTTCACAACCACATAAGAACATAATTATCAACCTGCCTATTAGGTAATACGTGTATGCCAACGAAACTGACTCATTAGCGGAAGCTTATACATCGGAGTAACTAGAGTCTAGAAGGAACTAGGGTCTAGGGTTGTAGTAAGACAGTAAGTTATCCTCCTTAATATTTTTAGGCCATCCTAGTTAAAATCCCAATCCTGACATTCGAGGGTTCAATTTGTACAATAATTAATAATTATATTATATACTATCATAATATGTGTATAATAATATTATATTAATATTTTGGATATACCATGTACCGGAGTTTAAATATAAGGACTAAGGAGTAAGGAGTAAGGAGAATCAAAATATACATCAGGTATCACCTATCACCCACAACATACTAATTTATTATAATAATAAGTATAGATACGATTATTGATAATGATATTTTATAAACATTAAACACATAAAGCTTTTAAATATAGGCATACCAAACAGTTATATAATATGTATCATACTTATTTTATTTTTAATAACAAAGGGAACCCAGGGAGGCGCTTTTACTCTATGGTTTATTTTCAATTTTTAGTTCAAGATTCCATAAGCAACTACTCAACTCTAGTCAGGTTTATGATGGGGAGGGGGGGGGCTTTTTATTATCCTAGATTCGTATTTCGTATAGTGTAATCACTAATCAGTATAGGTTAGTAGCAAATCGAATATCAATTCTGATCAACTGATCTCGACACTAATATTGTATATTTGTATGCAAATAGACGAGACAAGTGATTCCCAACCCGTAGATATGATATTCAATTGTTTCGCGACACTTAAAATTATTTTCCTTACCTACGTCCTACGTGCATGCATTGATGCATATTGCATAATGCATGTTAATATGTTCTAATGTGTTACCGAACCTAAATAATAAATTTTAATTTAGGTATTAAGTTGTGCAGTTATGCAGCGACTACTAGCTAGTAATATAAATAAGAGGACTACGTGGCAGCTACATGTGTTGTCTCCGTCTTAAAGTGCGTAAAATAGCAAATTTTCCGCCCAGCAGATCACGTGTAGCTCCGTTAGTTTAACAATTTTTGAAGAGAGTTATAATTATTTCAAAATTGTAAATTGTTTGTACATATTAAATTATTCATAACTCGCTTTAAAATTAAAATATAATAAAAAGTCCATGAGCAGTGGCGTATCCAGGGGAGGGGCTGAGGGCAGGGGCGGATTGGGCCACCGGGAATTCGGGAGTTTTCCCGGTGGGCCGCTTTTTCAAATAACTATGTATTCTTAAATTCCTATTAGGTACCAGCCCAGTAAATTTGCATTTTTTTCCCGATTTTTCAAAATAAGATAATACGAATTGGATTGCGGACAGTATGCAATAGTAGGTATATCAGGTAGGCAATCTATGATGGCACAACGATGAGAGACAGAAAGCAAAAATATAGTATTTTTCGAAAAGCAAAAACAGCAAATATTTAATGTAATATAGCGGGGTCACTAGTTAGGACAGTTAAAATCGAAAACAACCCTTGATATGTTATGTAAAACCACATTGGGTGATCTCTAGGTAACGACAAACTTCGGAAAAAGTCTACTTTACTTGACATCCCGTGGAAGTAGAAAATAGAAAAAGTCAACCTGATTTGAGCAGTAAGCACTGTAATATTCAAAAACTATGATTTGCTGTAACTTTTGAACAGTGTTTAAATTTCCGAAAAATGTTTTATACACTTTTTAATACTTATACAGTAGTACACGTATTTCGGGTGTAAAAAATTTGAGCGTCATTCGTTTGGGCGAATAATCCAAAATTAACTTGAGTAAAGCATATATCATTTGGGTCAGAAATTAACCGATCGTTTAGGCGAATTTATAAATTATTGAATAATAGGGAAGTAACATAACGTAGGTATACAATAATTTCTATAATATTTAGTTACTACAGCTAAATATTATTATTATATCGTTTCGGCTGATCGGTGAATACAGATAGTGAACGATAATTTGTTAGATTGTACTAAGACGGAGACAAAACATTTTACTCAATATTATATTACATAATAATACTAAAGGAAAACAAGACTATACAATTTTTCTGATGGTTTAGAATTGAAGTACCTACATAATGTTATTATGAATAAACCACAATAAAACATTTTTTTAGAAAATAAAGAAAAACACATACATTTTGCATGTTGATTCTGTAAATTTACCTATCAGGGGCCTGTTTCATAAAAAAGACAAGTCGAAATGGACCATACGTAAACTTGTAAATTTCATTCACTTGTTAACTTTGTGTTTCATATAATATACAAGTTGGCAAGTTGACCTATGACAAGTGACAATTGACAAGTTAAAGAAAACCTGGAAAATATTGTAAAAAAACTTGTTTTTTGTTTCATAAACAACAATGATTTGTAAAATATATTGAAAATATGATAACAATTTGACTAGTCCCTGAAGTATAGTTTTTAAGTGACAATTATTGTTATTAATATTATTTCATTATATTATTCTTCAACATTTAGAGAACTTTTTTTAAAATGTGGTCATCTTCATCATCAAGTTCTTCTGACAGCGACGACGAGAATATTATCATTCGTCGAAGAAGAATATTCCGTCCAAGAATTAATAATAATTTTATGGCTGAATATGAATTCAACGAACGGTTCAGAATGAACTCAGTGAAGTTGGAGTACATTGTCAGCAGTATAGGGCATCTTCTAGTTCATCATACAAACAGAAATCATGCATTATCCCCCATTCAACAAGTAAATTTATGCTTACATTTTTTGGGAAGTGGTACTCAGTATCACTCTATTGGTGATATGCATGGTGTATCAAAAGCTACTGTTTGTCGTGTAGTAAGAAATGTGACAAAAGCCATAAATGAGGTACTTTTTCCACAATTGGTTCGATTTCCAAATGATTTGGTAACTGTTGTTCAACATTTCCATAGTATAGCTTCAATACCCTTAGTTGTAGGTTGTGTTGATGGAACTTTAATTAAAATTGACGCGCCATCGATAAATGAACCGGTGTTTGTTTGTACGTACAACCGTGATTGAAAATTTCGGATTGATAAACCGAAATATTATCATAAATTGCTTATCAGGCTTGTAAAAATAAACAGCTGACTAGTAAATCGTTATTTATTTGACAAGTCATTTTCGACAGGAGTACATTTTTATGAAACAATGCTGTATTGGACTTGTCTGTTTTTACATGTTACTTGTCACTTGTAATTTTCAAACTTGTTTTTTTTATGAAACAGGCCCCAGGTATATTAAGTGGATTGTGGAAGTAAATTATAAGATTTTATTTAAGTCTAAAAACGCATTATTAAATATTATTGAATAGGTAATAACCTTTCTTATTAAATACAAAAATCGTAACATTAGTAATTTAAATTATTCACTTTTACTGTGTTATATATAAGTACTTGGAGTTTGGACTATTATAAATGTGTAAACATAAACTGTTCAAAAATAAAAATAAATTTGATATCGATGTATATACACTACGAATAAAGTTATATAAATTTCATATCTTGCCAAACGTGTAGTTATGTTAAAATAGTAATACATAATAATATTATGTTGGCTAAAATTAAATATTTGGTAAATTGGTAAGCCGGTATACTTTGTATTTTCCCGGGCCGGAATCTCTCCCCAATCCGCCCCTGGCTGAGGGGGCTGTAGCCCCCCCCCCCCGAAATGTCAGGAAATCATAAATTATTATTTATAAAATAATATAAAATACATAGGCACTATACGGCAATGCGGCATAGTATTACGTTGTTTCCATATTCAAGCAATATCACAAAGACACAAAACGTGTATAATGTCATGTCTGTCAGTATCGATATTATCAATTATCATATTGAATATTCACATTGTTATCATTCTTAAAATAATAACGACTATCGCGAGAGCAACTTTACTATCATCGTGTAAACATAACTTAAGTGTAACACTTGTTTTTGTTCAGAATTAAAATGCTAATATTTTTTAAAATTGAAGTCAGTATTTACAAAAACATTGAATCATAAAAAGTTTTTTTTTTTTAATTGAGTTGGCATAATAAATTTGGAGCCTGTAATTATACATTACATTTGCATTTTATTCATTGGCGATATTTTTATCGAGCAGACATCAATTAGAAAAAATATGATATATAATTTAGTCACTTCTTTGAATATTTGCATCCTTGTTAAAATCTTTAAATTAAATTAAAACTATTATGATTCTACTCCTAATTCTAATAGTAGTCTGGTAGAGTGGAGTATTATTTTCTAGTGCTCATAAAAAACTCTAAAAATATTTTGCATATTTTATTTTACGATTAGGTATATTATTTATATTATAACATTATTCAATAATAGTTATCTTATAAACTTCAAACTAATTTTGAAAAATTGTTTAGTTTTTTTGGTGTTTTCTTGTTTTTAACACCTTCTCATTTTTTTCTTTTGTAAGTGAATATCATTCTTGTTTTTACATAATGCGTTATGATATATTTGGTTAATATTTGACTGTGTATTGAGCAACCAACCTTTGTCAAAAATTTGTTTATATATTTCTTCAATAAATATAAATTATGTTAGAAAAATAAACAGTGAAAAAATATGTATATGTAGTTTTCAAATTTAAATGCAACATTAAAAACATGATCTATTACCGGGACAGCTAGTTATATTTATTATATTTAGATATTTTACACTATAATCTAGTACAGTACTTCTCAATTTTTTTTGTCATGAGGCTCCCTAAATTTAATGTATAACTGTCAAGGCCCCCTTAATCAAAATTATTAATTGTTTTTTCTAAATTAGGTATATACTAAAATTACATGTACTATTTCACACAGATAAATTATTAAAATGTATAGTAATTTTATATACTTTTGAAAAATATTAATGATAGTATTAAAATTTAAGTATTTATTCTTTTTCCATAAACGCTTAAAGTCAAAAAATTAAAAATTAAAATAAAATAACAACATTTTTTACTAGTGTGCCTGGAAGTTCTAAGTACATTGAACCCTACAATAATCTTAAAAAAAAACATGAACACGTTAATCAATCGGAATCGGAATTTTGTTCTTTAAATAAACATTTTTTCATTTTTGAAATTTATTTTCTGTAGAGTACATTACCATGTTTATATTTAATATTTTTAAAAAGGAGGTGACAAAGTCCCCGTGATAAAAAACAAAATGTTCAACCCCCCCCCCATTGAAAATTCCTGAGTACGCCCCTGTGTATGAGCTTCTTAAGATACTATCAATACTTCCTGTTTCAACAGCTACTGCAGAGAGAAGTTTTTCAACATTAAGGAGATTGAAAAATTATCATCGAAACACAACATCTGAATCACGGCTTGTAGGACTAGCTCTGTTATCAATGCATAGAGATGTAGATATTACTGATAATATGGTACTAGATAAATTTTCGAACAGTGGAAAAGCTAGACGACTAAAAATTAACAATATGATTAAAATAATAATGTATTATTTTAAAATTTTAAATATAGTTTTTTTAATCACTATTATTTTGCAGTTATTTTTTTTTTTTTGTAACTGATCAGCCCCCCCCCCCAAAAAAAAAAAAATTCCTAGATACGCCACTGTCCATGAGATTGCCTAGGTAATAATCTTACTTTTACATTTTATAAGGGGTCAATTCGCTCTAATTTTTAAACCAACTGAGCTAAACGTGATCTGCTTAGCGTAAAATTGACCATGTTACACACTTGTAAGACGGAGACAACAGGTGCGGGTACCATGTCCTCATATCGTCCTCACGGCTCACGTTCTCATATCGCATAGAATAAAACTACTGTCGCCTGGAAATAATCGTATCTTTTTTTCGTACGATTAAAGATACTATGTTTAATCGTGATTCGTACCAATCGTAACTATACAATAGACTCTATTTTAGTATAGACTATATTATACTATTATAGTCTGTAGAATATAGGTAATATTCGTAAAAATTAAAAGGTATTTTCTTATAATATATTATAGATACCATAAAACTATAATTAAAACTTAAAGGCACAATTCTGAATGCACATAATATACAAAAATTACAAGTGTACATGTCTGTATTCAGGTACTAGTAAATAGTAAAATTATACTAATTACTAATTTCACACTTGACACTCGACCAATAATAGTATTGCATCTACGCCGCGCCTGAGGGTACGCGTACGACATGTGCACACGTGTTAACTGCAAAGTGCAAATATTTAAACAATTATTATTATTATTATTATTATAAACGATTGTTCAATGTTCGCTGCCATACGCCCGTACAGAGTGTCGTTAAGATTATCTCTATACTCGTTATTTCATGAATTTCCCACCGTACAAGTGTACAACACTACGAAATACGAATATAAGCTGTGTGCCTGTGTGCCTATGTTCAACCGTTCAATGTACATTCTGATTTCTGATTGTACATAATATTATTATTTATAAACGAAATAATAGTATACAATATAATATACATATTTTGTACACGCATTCTAATCATAATAGTATGTATCAGTAGATGATCAGTAGTCTACTACCTAGTTAGATTACTCTAGGTTACTCATAAGTCATAACGTGATGATTTTTTCAATTCGGTTTCAGAATTGCATTAATATCTATTATCTACTAAATTCTTGAATAATACTGACAATAATATATGTTTACCTATATATATCTACTCTATAGCACCAAAGCAGACGAGCAATACATGTGTTTTTATCAAAAGGTTATTCAATATTCAAACGATGTCGATAGTATAATAATTAATTTGTGTTTAAAAAATTTAATTTGTATGGTTTCAAACAACTATATACGTTATACACAAATTACGTATTATTATTATTATGACCTGTAATGCTAATGGGTATTTTCCTTAAATCATGTATCCTAGGTTATAGGTATCTAGGTACCTATTCGATTATGAGAAAAACTTGAATATGAATGCATTCGTATACGTAGGAACTAAATGCTAATGAATAGTGAATAGAAATTATTTTTTTTTTTTACTACAAAGAATGCATCTCTCAGCATAGTGCTGTAGTCGCATAGGTTTGCTTTTAAAATAAAATATCATCTCTCACGACCTCTTTTGTTTATTTAGTATAGACGCATAGGCATAATATTAATCAGTGATGTATTATTTAATTTCATATAGGACTATAATATTATTTCATATTTGTGCATATTGAATATAGTTTACTAGCTTATGTTTTTAATTTTAAAAACGATTAAAAATGTAATACTAATAATCAGAATAAATAATTATTTATTGACATTTAAAAAAAAAAGCCTGAGGCATTCAGACATTCTGACAGAGAGCTCGGAGCATTATACATCGGTAAGTACATTAAATGTATAGGTCCGCGGCATACGGGTAAAAAAAATAGCACAGAACGGTGTGAATTACAGATTGTCAACAAAAATTCGAGTCCGACAGATTAACTCGCAAACAAGTCGACAAATCCCATTCATAACTAATTTCATCATAAGTATATAAATTATATATATATATATTTTTTTTTTTTTTAGTTGATCTTAAGCCCGGTGACTATGGCCATTAGCTGTATGGTTTTGTAGGTTTTTATGTCGGTAGGGGGGGGAACACGTGTGTTTTGTTTGGCAGAATTTTTGATTGCAGGGCACCCGTAGGTATCTGTCATGCCCGGGTAGCGGATGGCGGCACTTGTTCTCCGGACACCGTGACTTGCCAGAAGAAAAATGCCGCCCATGACCGAGGTATCGAGCGGAGAGAAACTTAGACCACTCGGCCACTCCGTCCCCCATATATATATTATATGTATTGTAGGTACATTTATACCTGGTATGCCCCTACCTGGCCTACCTGCAAGTATATATGATTAACCTACAAACAATAGCCGAAGACCGCAGATAATAATATTATAGTAATAATAACATCTTACAGTCAAGATTTTTCGTTATGAAACATTTTTTTTCAGTCACCAGGCCAGGCCTCGTTAAAAGCTATGCAATAGCTTAAAAAACTAAAATGAATCAAATACAATCAAAGTGA